GGCAATCCTACTTCTGTAGTGATACTGCCTCGGAAACCCAAGGAGGGGTCGCTATGAGTTGGGGCCGACTCGACGGCAAATAACAACAACAACATTCTAACAAGAGTACCATGCCCTTTGATGAGCAGAACCCAGACTCAAGCTCAGCAAATAATTTGAAATTTAGTCCTATACTGACAGGGTGTCCAGAATACACATGTTGGATGGCTTTGAGCATGGAGGGTGTATTGGAAAGGCAAAGAAGTCCAGGCTGTAGGAGTACACTGCCTGTGTTTGAATCCAACTCTATTACTTAGTAGCTAATGGATTCCTGATAAGTAAACCTTATCTCTCTGTGCCTCAGTTTTCTCATCTGAGGAATGGCATAGCACAAATATAATTTTGCTGAGTGGATTAAGTGAGTTAACACCTATACATTGCTCAGAACAGTGCCTCTGTTAGCTGTTTCTCAAGGATGCCTTCTCTGAGCCCATATGTCTCTTTATGAAAAGGAAAATTGCCTGTGATACTGTGCTTTGGGAGGAACATGTGTTTCTGCCTACTGAAAAAAAAAAAAAGAAAGAAAGAAAAGAAAAGAAACACACTCCCATCAAGTTAGATCCGATTCATAGTGATCCCTCCTTGGGTTTCTGAGGCAGTATCACAACGGAAGTAGATTTCCCAACCTTCCTTCCGAGGAGTGGCTGGTGGGTTTGAACTGCCTGACTTCTAGTTAGCAGTCAAGTGCCTTAGGCGCTACACCACCAGAGCTCCTGTTTCTGCCTAGCGTGCATAAGGTAGTCATCTGTTATGCTACACACTGGCAGTAGATTAAAACTGTGAACGCAATTTGATTGGGAAATTCATGGTATCTATCAGAGGATCGAGGGCAGAAATAAACACTAGATAACAAAAGGTTCACTATGTATGCTGTTGGCTTTAAAATGAGTTGATATGTTTCATTCCACTCTTCTATCCACCCATTCATCACCCACCTATCCAGACAGTATCTTTTATGTTCTAAGCACTATGTAAGGAGCTGGGGATACAGAAAAGAATAGGACGTGCTATTTCCTGTCAAAAATCTTGCTGGCTGGGGAAAGTTGACATGCATGTATTTAACTAGAAGACAGGCCAGGATGATAAAAGCTGTATTACAAATATGCATATCTGCATAATGACATAAGTTGGCTAATGGGCAAATTAACTTTTAATACAGAGCTCTAGTTATGATATATTGTTAAATAAAGAAAAACATTATTTGGGGAAACAGTTACCTTGTACAGTTTATTGCGTAGTAATTCAACATTCAGTTCATCTAGAGTATTTTCAGACATACAGTCTTGAAAGAATGGAGCTGAAACCAGAAGTGATCAAATACAACAAATAATGAAAAGCAAAATTACAGACTTAAGAAAAATGTACCCCAAACATATCACTCTGTGCTCACTCCTGATTAGATGACCATATAACCTTGTAACCCAGAGTGGATCAGACTAACAAAATGCTGATAATTACCAAAAAACCAAACCCATTGCCGTTGAGTGCATTTCCACATGGTAGAACTGCCCTACAGAGTTTCCAAGGCTGTCAATCCTTATGGAAGCATCCTGCCACATCTTTCTTCTGCATAATGACTGATGGGCTCAGACCATTGACCTTTTGGTTAGCAGCCAAGCAGTTACCCACTCTGCCACCAAGATTCCTTTAATGATGACAATAACTTATTATTTATTAATCATGTACTATATGTGAGGCCTTTGCCAAACACCAGATACACTACACCTCATTTAATCCTCACAACATTTTGTCCCTGTTCATTTAAGGCTTACTTGTTAAAGTACCTTCTGTCATATCGACCATTTGCAGCCTTCTTATGTAGCAGGCACTGAGCTGTACTAAAATCATGTCTTGGTTTTCAAAACTGTGCTATGTAATGCTGTTGTTGTTAGATGCTATCAAGTCCATTTTGACTCATAGCACCCCCATATAACAGAGGAGAACTGCTCCATAGTGTTTTCTAGGCTGTAATCTTTATGGGAGCAGATTGTCAGGTCTTTCTCCTGCAGAGCCACTGGGAGGATTCAAACAGCTCACCTTTCTGTTAGCAGCTGAGCACTTAACCATTGCACACCCTTGTGCTCTATCGTTCCAAAAGCCCACTACCATCAAGTTGATTCCAACTTATAGCAACCTTATGAAACAGAGTAGAACTGTCCCATAGGGTTCCCAAGGCTGTAAATCTTTACAGAAGCACACTGTCTCATCTTTCTTCCATGGAGCAGCTGGTGGGTTTGAACCATTTACCTTTTGGTTAGGAACCGAATGCTTTAAACACTGTACCACCAGAGCTCCTTGCTATACAGTGAAGTGCTGCTATTTATAAAATAAAGAGCCTGAAGTGAATTGAATTGCTCCAAGCCATCTCGTTAGGACTAGGCAGAACCTGGCTTCACACTCATGGCTGTCAGATTCCATAGCTCATGCCCTTTCCACCATGCTATGCTGCCTCCAGTATTGGTTACTTAATGAAGACACAAAACATTTTCTTTTTTAAATTTCTGTTTTGAAGTCCAACTATTTTGACAAATGATCAATAATGAAGTGCTAGGGATAAGAGGGAGTGAGGGGGCAAGGGGAAGTCATTAGTGACGGAACGCTAAGTTACTGTTAAGGATGATGAAAAAAATTAGAAAAAATAAAAGTGATGGCTGTACAACATGATGAACATAATTAATGCCACTGAATTGTTCATATACCAATGTTGAAATGGCAAAGAAAATTAAAAAGTAACTTGCTACTCCAGATTTTCTGCCAATATGAGATTAATAATGCTTATAAAATTATTCTTTTAGCATTTCAAATGTACAACTACTGTAATGAAATCGACATTCATTTCAATATTGCTTCAGGTCATTTGACAGATGATCTTGAGCATCTCAGAAAAATACCATTCCTGAACTCCCTAAAACAAAATACTTCCTATACAACTTGATTTACACAGAAGTTTAAAATAAAGGTATAAGGAACTACTCATGTGAAACCCAACTAGATAATTAATTTCTTGAGAAATTACAAATTCTGCCATTTAATTGGCATGATAGGGTACGAAGTACAAAGGTTTGGAGGTTGGCAGATGAGCCCAGCTTCCTCTCTGCTACTTGCCTGCTGTGACCCTGAGCAATTTGTTTCACTTCTCTTGATCAGAAAATGAAGGAGCTAGAGGAGATGATTCCTTAACATTCCTTCAGTTTCTAGGAATTTGTATAGTATGACACTGTATTCATGGGTGAAAAAACTTTCATTGAAAGCACATTATCTGATGATATTGATAACCTATGTAGGTGGCTGTACAATTGCTTAGGCATTCATACCTAATGGTGTTTCAACCAAAACAGCATTAAAGAGATCTGAAGCTGTTTCTGCAATATTGACTGCTTCCATTTCCATGAAACTGCCCAGTGGGTGGCATTTTGCCAAAATATCCTTCACAGGTTTTTTTTGCAATGCACCATTCATCAGTAGGATCACGTTGTCTATCATATAACAGCACCTGGTTTAGAAGAAGTACAAATATTAGGGAAACAATCACATGAGGATAAGTTAATACACATAACACCATTCAGGCACACACTCTTCCATTCAGAAAATATTTGAGTTTGTTTTTATTTTCAACTCTAGGTTTATCATGGTTTGAAAAAACATATTCAAAGTCATAATAACCAACTGTTGTTGTCTTGTCATTTTTGACTCATGGCAATTTTGTGTGTTACAGACTAGAACTGCTCAATAGGGTTTTCTTGACTCTAATTTCTATGGAAGCCCTTTTCTTCTGCAGTGTCACTGGGTAGTTTCAGATCGCCAACCTTTCCGTTACCAAATGAAGGCAAAACATTCGTACCATCCAGAGACCTTTAATAACTAACTAAAACTTAAAAGAACATTGACTGATGGGAATATGCAGAAGATGAGCCCTACACAGTAATTGTCAAAAGTGGTAGGGTAGAGTAAGGGTATGAAATTGATTTATCAGAATAGGCTGTGGGCTTGAGAAGTCAAGACATAGCAATCTAGTGTATTTCCCTGTACATAAATTATATTTCAATAAAATCCATTAAAAAACAAACAAACAAACATAGTGATCTAGAGTTTCTTAACTCTACTTTAAAAAAACTGACCATTTGAATCTGGAGGAAGCCTGTCACTGAGGAGTTAAAACTTAGTGTTAAAAAAATTTCTGTATTCCTTTCCTCCTATGAGGCCAGATGCTAAATTTTCTAGCCATTTTTTTTTTTTAAACCAGCTCCCCAAAGTCAGTATGTTCACATTTTATGTGATTTGTTTGCTCAATGGAAGTTCCATTCAGGATATTCTGGTCATGTGCTTGTCCATGCATGTGCTCAGCACCTAGGATATTCCACACAAAGAGATTGAAAGGCAAAAAACCCACAGTCCCTCCTGTCACAGAGAACATAGTTTAAGGAAGAAACTGGACAAAGAATCAATTACAAGAAAATACAAGGAAGTATCCAATCTATGAATAGAGTGCATAGTTGGGTGCTAAGCTTGCCTGTTGATCAGACGTGCTAGGGAAGCAGCATTCAAGCTGAAAGTTGAACAATGAGTGCTGTCCAGATAAAATGGACTCAAAATTGGGGAAAAGATTATTTTCAGTCAGAAGAAAGAGCATGTGAAATGGCCCAGAGATGACAGCACAAGACTTGTTCCAGGATGTTTCTTTTCCTGAGAACTGGAGGTAGGGCTGAGGGTGAACATGCAAGATCCTACAAGACAAGATGAGGAAATTAGATGCTAAGAATGGTGGAGGACATGAATGGCTTTAAACGGGGGTGGAGGTGGGCATGGGTTATGATTTACGTAGAACATGGATAAAACAGGTGTCAAGGTAAACAAACACTTACATAGTGAGGTGCTTTGCAAAAGTTAATTTATTTAATCAAGATCTTGTGAGGTAGGTACTGAAAAATCAAACTCAGGGGTCTGGTTCCAGGATCTTCCTCTTAATCTTTATATTCTGCATTAGGTTGTCAAGGATGCCATGTAGATTTTTAGATTTAAGTCTGTGGAACTACTTACTGAGATGAGAACATTGGGGGAAGAGCAGGTTGCAGTGGCTACAGACGTTTTGAATATAATTTGTTTAAGAATACCCAGTAGATATCCAGGAGGAGATGCCAAGTAGGCCTCATAAATATGAGTCCTGAAGACAGCTGTGGACCAGAGACATTAGGGGATTAGGAAGAGGGTGTTTAGAGATAGGAGTAGAAGTCATGGGACAAATTGGGACCTCATCCAACAGAGTATGCAAACAGTCCTGTCTTGAGAACTCCAGGGAGCCCCAACATTTAAAAAAACTTGATGGAGACTGAGTAGGAATGACCAGATGGAAGGAGGAAAACCAGAGGCGAGACATCACAGGAGTCTAGGAAGAAGTGATCCAAGTGAAAAAGGCCCCAGCAGTCAGGGTAAAGGTGAAGTGAAAAATGTCTGTAAGATGCAGCAACTAAGAAGTCATCTGAAAATATAGTGAAAACACTTAGAGGAGTGTTTGTGTTTATGGATGTGGGGTGTGGGGGCAGAGGGGAAGAAGGTATAAACCTGATCACTGTGTGTTTAAAATGAAAGAGAATTAGTGATTTTTTAAAAGAAGAAGATTTGAAATTACAAGTTGGCTTTAAAGAAAGGCACTTCAGGCCATGAATAAAACCGACTTCTAAGGGCTGGCTCTCAGCCCAATAGTAAATAAGATGTACATGCAGACCACTCAACCCAGGGTGATGCACCCACCTACTCTACAGAGATACATCCCTTGGAGCAATTGGCCATGGGGCACCAGAGGGGCAACATTCACATGGAGGAAATGCAGGACACACAGGAGTGCATAACTATGAAGGGCATGGAGGGTGGGGTGGGGTTATTGGGAAGGGAGAGAGGAGAGTGGGTTAGGGTTGGGGATGGAAATTGGGGAGTGAAACCAAATGTACACGAAATGTGGAATGTAAAACAAATTCTGCTCTGTAAATATGCACCTAAAGCACAATAAAATAAATAAATAAATAGAAGAAAACTACCCAGAGACCCAGGGGCCAAAGAAGCTTCAGATTTATTTTTAGTATTTGCCTTTTAACAGAGGAGGTGAACATGTTTAAATGCTGAGGGCAAAGAGGCCATCAAGAGGGTGAAGTTGCAGACCTAGAAGAGAGAAGGGACAGACGATTGATGAAGTGAGGCCCTCTAGGTTTGACAGCTAAGTCGGGCATGGAAAATTATACCTTTCACTGGATGAAAATTAACTTAGACATTGGAGCATTGTCATTGGAGCTGGTTGCTGCATGGATTACCAACTTCCTCTGGAATAACTCACTTCTGGCTGGAAAAGAGAATCTACTTCATCATGGGACTTCCATAACTTACTCCCAATAAAAATTTTAACTAAAGAAGTTTTTGAATCTAGTAATTAGGCCTTTTTTAAAAGTATATGACTATAGAGTTTCTTCACCTCCCAAACAGCAGTAACAAATTTAGATATTACAGAATTTTTTTCAATCCTTTTTATCTCTTGAAAATGATATTATAATGGAAGTTCTTTTTTAACTGTCCATTTATGGCTCAAAAGAAATTACCTGAGAGTGGAATTGCTAGCACTTAATAATCCTTAGCAGGCTCCATACATTTAATTGTTCCCATAGTTGCCCTGTAATATAAAAGCATATGGATTGCTAACATTCCCAATTTACCAAGGACTATTAGTTCTGTGGAGCTCTGGTAGCATAGTGCCTAAGGCACTTGACTGCTAACCAGAAGGCTGGTGGTTCAAACCCACCAGCCACTCCTCAGAAGGAAGGTTGGGCAATCTACTTCCATAGTGATACTGCCTCAGATGGAGCTCTGGTAGCATAGTGCCTTAGGCACTTGACTGCTAACCAGAAGGCTGGCGGTTCAAACCCACCAGCCACTCCTCGGAAGGAAGATGGGGCAGTCTACTTCTGTAGTGATACTGCCTTGGAAACCCAAGGAGGGGTCGCTATGAGTCAGATCTGACTCGACAGCAGTGAGTTTTGTTTTTTATTAGACCAATGATGATGGGCAACAATCTCAAGGATTTTGCCTACATGTAACACTCAGGCTGTGCCTGTACAGTGTGTGTGTGTGGATGTGCACATAGGTGTCCATGTGCATACATGTGCATGTGTATTGAGTATTTTTTTTTTTTTTTCATTACTACAGAGGTTGTGTCCTATACTGTCAACAGCGAGGGCTTTGTAGATTGAATTCAAATTTATTTCAATTCTTATCAAGTGGCCATTTTTCTAAAATGGGACAATAACACCAGATCTCATAGTGTTGTTTGGGAAACCAAGTGAGAACCCAGTATTTGGCCTATGGTGAGAGAGTATCTTTTTTGCCCCTTGCTCATCTCTATCATACATATGCACAAGATACATAAATATAATTGGCTATTAGAGGTAGAAGGGGGGTAATGTGTCTAGAGAACAGTTTACTTTCTCCAGACGATAATCTTAATGGACTGTCAGAATTATTCATATGGTGATAAAGAATTAAATAATTGCTTTTGTTGCTTAGTAATTAGGAGGGGGCAAAGGGAGACTGTGATACTGCAAAACAGTGCTGTTGAATCTTGAGGAGGCCCAAGACGGACTGGCACTTGGCCTGGGAGAAACTGAAAGGGCAATAAGGCAAGGGGAATACTTCAGACAGAGAGACACAGAGGGAAACAGCACCCTGCCCACAGCAGAACACAATGGGAGAGCCTTTGAAGGGGCAGCCATAAAGGAAAGACATAGAGAGTTGCCTACTGTTTTCTCAGAAAAGTTGAGCCCCACTGCTTACATCAGAGTCTGCAACCAGTAGCCCTACCCCCCATGACCCAGTCCCCCGCTTCCTGCACATGAGTATTGAATTCCAGAGATCAAGCATTCAGAACTAGATCAGCACTGAAAAAAAGCTAAGGATAAAGTACCTGCTAGTGTTCTCAGGAGAAGATACCAACCTCAACTGTTGGATTGATTCTGACTTGTAGTTAACCTTCCGGGCAGAGCTGAGCTGCCCTATGGGGCTTCTTAAGGAGCTCTGGTAGCACAGTGCCTAAGGCATCTGACTGCTAACCAGAAGGTTGGTGGTTCAAACCCATCAGCCACTCCACAGAAGCAAGACTAGACAATCTACTTCTGTCAAGATTTACCACCTTGGAAACCTGAAGTGGGTTGTTGAGTCAGAATCAACTCAATGGCAGTGGGTTTTGGGTGTGGGGCAACTGGGGCTGTGAGTCTTTGTGGAAGTGGGCTATTTCATATTTCTTCTGTATAGTAGCTGGTGAATGCAGGTCCCAGCCTTTCAGTTGGCAGCCAGGCACTTGCTGCTATGCCACAGGACACCCAATCAGGAAATTTTCCCACAAAAACCAGAATACAAAATTTAAAGTAAAAAAAAAAAAAAAAGTAGAAAAATGGCCTAAGTTCACCAAAAAATAGTAAAACACATAAAATCATAAGAGAAAGACCAATCAAAAAC